CAGAGTGTTAAGTTATAAATCACCCCGAGTAATTATTGAGAACCCCCCTCCATCTTATTCTTTCAGGTCCTCCCGTAAGTTATCTTAAATTTCCCTAATTTTTCAGGATATCAGTAATTCCCCAATATCGTGCCTTCGCCGGGAATTATTATATTTTAATTCCCCGGCCAGGGTCACAATATATATTTTTTTAATATCTGCTCGGCTGAATTTCCACTCTCCTCCAAACATTCATGGGCCAATTCCCCTTTTTACTCACAATCCCTGGGTCATTTTTACATAGAAGCGGGGAAGTTTTTATAGCGTTCCACATTTTTATGACGTCAAAAGAGTCGTTGGATAGGATTTGAATTAGCTAGGAAAGGAAACAGGATAATTTTTTATATAAAATTTTTATAAGAAAAATTACTGAAAAAATGGATAGTCCAGACCGGGATTTGAACCCGGGACCATCTGATTATGAAAAATTTTGCATCGGGTACTCTCCCAATCGGCGTTTAATCGGAAAATCCCAACAACTCCTCTCCTCAACAAAATCATGACGAGTCTGTGTTAAGTATTTATTCATTGGAATCCAACAATCGTATTTATCCATAAAATTACAGAAAAAACAGGTCAATATCTGTTACCGCGCAAAGGACAATTTTTCAAGATTAAATCTGTAACAGTTATCTACTACGCACTCGGTGCGCCGAATTTGAATTTGGCGGTTCGACTCGACCAATGAGGAATTAATCCTATGCATTTCGAGATATTTCGATTCGGGCGAACTTCGTTTTTGTGTTTCTATTTTCATAATAAGGATTCATATTAAGGATTAACCAATCCTACCTGTTGTTATCAAACGTCATTATCTACATGATCATCAACAACTGTTACCGAATATTCATGTGTTCTAATTCTACAGCACGATTCGGTAACTGTATCGCACTCTCTGTATAACATCAACTGAATTCCCTCATTGATCACACTCAGATAAATTTTTGAGAACACTGAATGCTTATCTAATCATTTTGGACTTATCTCAGTCTCAACGTCGATAGATAACAGTTATAGAGAAACACATGTTGAAAAAATGGGACGTCAAACATATGTTGCCGTTGACATGAAGACGGTCCCTGTTAACGATATTAAAGTTTCAATAATACGAGTTCTAATTTACGTTCAATTCAAAATGTTCATAAAATTTCGAATTTGTTTTTTTTTGTTTTAATTTTTAATTTTTTAATTTTTTTTTATTTTTAAATTTTATTTTTATTTTTTTTTATTTAAATTTTTATTTTTTTTAAATTTTGATTTTAATTTTTAATTTAATGAAAGCTTGAATTATTATGGTCATCGTAAAAATTTGGTGACCCGTGAAAAGTCGATGGCGATTAATTAACAATTTTCGATGAAAATCTCGAAATCTAGCGGAGATAACGGGACTCTTATTACAACCTCTTTTAAAAAGCTAATTGCGGACTAAAAAAAAAGACTAAGAAGAAACTGCTATCTCCCTTAGTTTTGTAGATATCTTTGATAAAGTCAGATCGCTACCTGACAACTTCACATATTTGAAATGATACCAGCTTTCACCTGCGCGGTCGTAAATTTCTTAAAATTTCAGTCACAGAATCATCTGAATCATCAATCATAAGAGTTTTAATTGAATTTCAATTAAAAACATTTAATAAATTTTATATTCACCTTGAAATATAAAGAAAATAGGATTTTTCACGTTAAATGCTAAATCATTTTTGAATCACAGCTAGAATTTTGAGACGGTTCCTGAAAATTTAATATGAAATACGATTGAATATTTCCTTGGTTTCAACGCCATGTAAACTCTAAAATAAAGAACTGCTGGAATATTTAAAAAAATAACTGATTTCTCAATGAAAAATTCAACAGAAATATATTTACTAGAAATTTCAAAAGTAATTTTTCAATTTATCTAGAATTTCTGCAACATTATTTAGCATTTTTATCGTATAATTGTTAGTTGTTAATTAAGAATTTTGACTGAAATAGTTATTAAAAATAACAACAAAGTTATTGTTCCACCAGTTGATTTGAAAAGTTGAAACGTTTGATGTGCGAGTAGAGACGCAAAAGCCACGAGCAGTTGGACAATTAATTCGAGATAAAAAAAAAAACGGCAAAGACGGGGAGTAATGACGACGTCGAATGGCTTGAGCAATGAGCAACAGTGAAAAGGGAAAACAGCGGTGAAATCGTGTGTCATCATCTCTCAACAATTCAT